GAGGACGAAGAGAGGAAGAGGCCGAAGGCTCAGTATTACCAGAGGGCGAGGGTGAGGGTGAAGGTGAAGGAGTGTACATTATGGTTGTGTGAGGGGGAGGAGGAGGCTCTGCAGGAGATATGATGAAGATGGTTCAGTTTATTATCAGGTCAGCAGTTTAGTTTATGCTTGTGAATGAATGCTTTTCTTATTTTAAGTTTCTCACTTCCTGGAGTAAAGAGAGAGAGGGATTAGTTTTAGATTTTTTTTGCCCCCGACTCATATCTTTACAGCAGGAGTGATGTCGCTGCTCTGACCTTTGACCTTCAGCCTGCTTTGAGGAGACTGATGAATAAGAGTAGAACACGAGTAGAGCCCTTCATCAGACTGCTGCACATTATGGAGAATCAGTTCTCCTTCAGGTCCATGTCCAAGTTTGACTTTATCTCTGAAGAAATACGATTTTTTTGCTGAACCGTTTCTGGGTTTGCAGAGCAGAGTGACATTACTTCCTGTGTTCACTGGAAGTGCCGGGATCTCCAGGATCAACTGTTTTTCTGACCAGCAAGACAAACAGAGTCATTTAGAGACAGAGGTCCACAAAGCAGAGTCATACAGTGACAGCAAGACAGATGGGAACAGATCGCTTTCTGTACCTGAAACAGCGATGGAGACTTCATCGCTCTTCTGTCCAGATAAATTTTCACACCAGAAACTTCCACCAGATGAGACGGAGAGATCCAGAACACAGAAGGAATTATTAAACCTTCTAAAGTCTGCAGCTGTATTACAGCCCTCAGTGGATACTCCTCTGGTCCTCTTTACTCTCCATCCATCAGCTGTCTGACCATCATCGACACAACTCAGGGAGACATAACGGTCTCCTTTGAAGAACTGCTGATGGTTTGGGCTGACATACAGAGAGACTGGAGGACAGACAGAAACACAGACGGACTAAATGTATTTGTATTATTGGTCGAGTGAATAATTTCACTTCCATAAACTCACCTGCAGAAACAGTCGGTGCAGACAGCAGCAGCACACACACACCTGCAACATGAAGACAGTCAATAAAGGTCAAAGGTCAGAGAGAGAGGACCTCTTTGTGACCTCAGTATCAGTGCTCCATGTTAAAGGTTCTCTCAGTTCCTTAAATGTCTCAGGAGGACAGCGCTATCCTTTAGAAGTGGGAAGCATCGCATTCATCTGTGTTATCATTTCCCCCAGGCTGTCAGATTTATTCTCCTTCCAGTCCAGAGAACAATAGAAGATGATGTGAAACACTGG